ATTCTCTACCATAATTTTTCATTATTAATTGCTCTTAATGATGAGAAATTTGGTAAAATTACASTGAATAATCACCTATTCATTTCAGGTATCATTTACAGAATGGTAGAGCAAACTTCCTCTCATTGCTTTTTCAACACAGCCCTTTATTTCTGAATCAATCAATGTTGAATTGAACAGACAAAATTGGGGGAAAAAAAAAATCACTCCCTGCCCTGAGCAATAAACATTAGYTGTCAAAGCCTGGGCTGTTCACAGCAAGTTCTGATTTCTGATACCCACACGAGAAATTTCATCCTGCCCTCTCTATCTCCTATCTTCCTATCTCAAAGCAAGATTCAACCACAATGTTCCCAAGAGTCTGAGGTCTCAGAACCATCTCTTCAACAATATTCTCTATGGGCATGGATTTCCTGAGGGAAAAACGCTTCCTGCTGGCCTGAAAGTGTGAGGGCAACAAGCAAGTTGCAGTTTRTGGCACAGGCAAATCTACACTGGCAGTTTCTGCTCAAAGGTAATACCCATCCTGATTCCTCTAAGGACTCCACACTCTCACATTCAGACAGCTAATACCATGTGCTACCTGTCAGTTGCACACCTGCATCACTCTGGAAAATCCTCAGGTCCACAAAGAAAAAAAAAAGCCACAAGCAAGTCAGCAAAAGTRTAATTGAAGCAGGGACAGATCTACTTTAAATGCACCCTAAATCACAATGAGCAAGTGATTTTCAAAATCAACACGGCAGAGGCTGCAAAACAAATTACTCTTGAGATGAACAGAAAAATGAACCTTTTTTTTTAAAGMAGGAATGGAGGGGAAAATAATTGGCATGCTTTCAAAGAAAAAAACTGTTTGAACTTCAAAGCATCAAGTGCAAACCAAATCAATTTCTATAAAATAATCTGCTTAACAAAGAAGTTTTAGCTTTGTTAGCTTAAATAGGCTAACAAAGAACTTAGCTGATTTAATCTRCAACTGATATTATAAAAGATGTGAGGATGACAGCTCTCATAAATATGATTGACAAAGTAAGATGTCATTCTGCACACTGAAATCTTGAGTTCAAACTGTATGTTGGATTTAAACTTTCTCTGTGCTTAAGCTCAAGGACATAAACCACCTAAGATTCGGCTCACACTGTCAGTCCAAGCTGAACCTCCAAGTATTGAAAGCCTTTCAGTCCTGGGTCTTCAGCAAGGATCACATAACTGAAAGAATGTCTACGCAGGAAAGGGTAACCTTGGAAGATTTATCATTCTTACAAGAAGCAAAATGCCAGTAACTTGCCTGTTGGGTTTTGGTTTGGTTTTTGTTAGTTGGATCTTTAAAAATTAKTATTAATTTAACCTTTGAAATTGAATGAAAGTCCAATGGATTTGATTGGAAATACTTTCATCTGCTTTTGACCACTTGACAGATTTGTAATCTGACTACAATAATAATGTTAGACAGTTTCATCTCAGATAGTTATGTAGTTATTTACGCAAAGAAGGTGCACATCAAATAAAACTCCAACAAAGAAAATATCCATTTTTTGTAATATTGCTGAGTATCAAAAAATTCATTACTGAATTTCTTCTTCGCTCAGATACCTTAATTAGACTAACACTGAATTCAGCAACTCTGTACCAAAAGATACAGCAAGGGTTATGTAAGGCGAACAAAAGGGTTTAGTCCTTAAGGAATATACAAGTTCAAAGTATAATATTTTCAACATCTTTTTCCAAGGCTGTGTGGAAAATAAACTTTTAGATGAAACACACTCAGAACAAAATTCCAAACTCTACAATTGAGAAACATTACAACATGTAAAACAAATAAACTTTGGAATATAAAGCACAAAATYTCATGTTTACAGTGTTTTAAGCTCCACTTATACACGAAGAACCCATGTAAAAAATGGACTAAAAGGAAGGCGAAATAATCAGGACTTCAGTGGAACACAGACAGGATAAAAGAATGAGAATAAAAGCCTCTCTAGCCCAGAGTATTAACACAGTGGTCAAGATGAATGTAAGAATGTCTCAAGAAGAATGTAAGAATAGAGCTAACTCCTGTGACCACTGTCAGAGAATTCCCTCAAAACTCTCAGCAAYTGACAGGTCAGTAGTTACTGTCTCCCTGTTTAATCAGTCTTAGAGGATTTTCTGCATGCAAACCTGCCCAGCTGACCCTTAACTCCATGTAAGCTTTTAGCACCCGTAGTATCCAGTGGCCACGGCTTCCAGCACACTGTGTTGAAGTGGCCTTACCCTCATYGTGCATTTTTGACTCAATACCACATTTTTGACAGATACCCCAAAGAACCTGCATGAGAACAATAAAACCAGCCAACCAACACTTCTAACAAGATGTTCCACTGGTGCCACCTGTGCCTCCATATACCTCCCAAAACCTCACTACTGGTTTCACTAGGGACAGAAGAAAACTAAATGGTTTCTTAATGATTTCTCCTCCAAACTGATTTTATTTGCTTAAACTGAATTTCATCTGCCATCTCAATGAGCCAACAGTTCAGTAAGACCTTTCTGTAATTCTTCATTGGCAACGCTATCTTTAAAACCATTGACAATTTATACAGACCAGCAAATATCACTGTTCAATCCCTTCATTTATGAAAATGTTGAGCAGCAGGGATACCTGAACTGATCCCTGTGGAACTCCACTGTTTAAAAACAACTGCTGGCTCCCACCTAAGCTTATAAGCATTTATCATTCTTCCTAGCAGGATCGTCTCCCTCTTCTTCCATGACTCCTTAGTTAGTCATGCAAGCAAGAATTATGGACTAAGACATCTTAGGGATCTGACAGACATACTTTGCACAAGGGGCACTTCTTCCAAAGTGAAGTTCCCTTATTTGGCCACAGCTGTCCAAATGCAGGTCTTTGGAGTCTGCCAAAAGACATCTTTCAATCTCTATATTTGCTAAAGATACTTTAGGACAGTGTTTTCCATTGGTTATTTCAGTATATTAGTCTATTTACTGCATCTAATGGGWTCACAAAAAACCTGACACATCTTCAGCCTCCCCTGACATGTTTTCACCACCACTAACCTAAGCAATTAATACTTTTTATTGTAGGCATACCAAAACCATAATCAAAACTAAAATATTGGAGACACAGCTACCAACAGAAAACAATGCATTTTTATTTTATGCTTGGGAACCAAAAGCAATCATTGGATCTTCCTTATAGGTTTTCCAAGATACACCTATCAGAGGGATTCTGAGACAACCATCAGCACTCTGGGTGCTGGCTCTGTCTCAAAGATGGCCTTGGGATGTAAGGACCAAGATCTCATTGCCATACCCATTAGAAAAATTTCCCTCAGAGCACATACCCCTCCAAGTTCTTCTGTCCCTTCTCTACCCCATAATCTTTAAGATTGTTGTTTTCTCCTGTTATTGTTTTTCCCTTTGTTTTAAGTCTTATTTCCTAGCCCTATCCAGCAGCAGGGCAGACCTAATGGCTCACATCKCTTTACTGGTTGGGTGTGGTTATCTACTATTTTCAAACCTATTGTTAGTGTTTCAGTTTCCACCTTCTCACCTTGCAAAGTAGAAAAATCTGTTGCATCTCACCTTCAATAGTTGCATAAGCATTACCTYTTCCTGCCAAAACCCGGAGATTTCACACATTAAAAGCCCTTCTTTATGCAATAAACTGAAGATGTACCACCAATACAGATTACACTTAAGCAAAGCCCATAGTCACTATCACAAAATGTGGGTGGATTCAAGACAGACTGCAGAGAAGAGTACCAATCCAGGTGACAGAGTTGGTATCAACTGTTGTAATTCACCAGCAGTCTGTTYTGTTTCCTTTTTTTTTGCCAACTCTAGACACAAAACCAACACAGCAATATTTYCTGCTTTGCATTTTTGTGTTTCTGCACAGGGGTACAGTGAAGTCAAGTATAGATGTGATAAGCATATTTAAAGCTATACCTATTTAAATCTCGCTGGGAAGGGTAGCATAGCGGGAAAAGGTAGCAGCTTAAGACCTAGGCAGCAAGCCAAGAATTATACTATATTGTATTTCTGTCACCTTTCTTGCCCCTATCAGTTACTGTACAGGAAGCACAGGTATGCCTTGTAGCAATAACTTTCATTGCATGCCCTTTCTGAAAAAAATATTTTACCAAGGCAACCATGTTATTATCYGAAAATTTCCCACATTCATTCAGGAGTTTTAATACTGTATCACTGGTAAAACTAACAATTGTTATTTGTTACTGACTGACATACATTTAAGTCATGTAGTGTGAGCCTTTAAATTGTAACCCTGTATTTTCCTCTTTTTTGCACATTATTTTCTGCCTGCAAATTCAACACGAACTGACAAATGTATTCGGAGGGCAAAAATTGCACGTTAGATGCTGCATTTTACCCCAGACTTCAGTTTTTAAGAAACTGAAGACTTGGGACCTTTAAGTTGCTGGGCAGGAGCATCACCAGGGCAGCAGTGCAAAATTATTGAATGAAGATGTAGCAGCTCCCTCGCCCACACCGCACCCCGATGGGAGCACCCTGCGTGCAGAGGCCTATTCAGGGACTCCTGTCTCGGGTGGGAGTTCTGTCATCGCAGGGTGCCGGCRATGGAGAGAACGCCGAAAGGTCTGGCAAGAAGGATGCCGCGAACGAGGAGGCATTTGGGCGCTCCCGAAGTGATGCCCACCCTTCAGCCGACACCTCACGGGGGCTGGTAGCACACAGGTACCCCGAACAAAAGCTGCTGGCTSGGGCCAGCGTCCGCAGAGACGGACCGATGCCTCCTCCCAAAAATCACTCCCGTCCCCCAGGGATTTCTCAGCTTAACTCCCGGGGAGCTGTGATTTTTTTTCCTTCGAAAGCCTGCCCGTCCTGAAAGCCCGCACGGTCTCTGGCTGCCGCTCACGCACAGCAAAGTTTTGCCGCTCTCGCCATAGCGACGCGGGCAGGGACACCCAGCCCCGGCCGCCCCCCGCTCGGCCCGGCCCGGCCCGGCGCCGCCTCACCGTCCCAGCTCGGACTCCAGCTCGAAGTAGTGAGCCAGGGTGTCCTTGTTGGAGCCATCGATCCAGTAGTCGGGCGCGGCGGACCCCGGGCGGCTGGCGGCCGAAGAGCCGGAGGAGGAAGATGAGGAGGACGAGGAGGATGAGGATGAGGAGGGCATGGTGACTTTCAGCATGCCGGGACGCCTGCCGGGGGCTGTCCTCTCCGCGTCGGCTGCGGAACGCAGAGCGACAAGGCGGCAGCTACACCTCACCTCCCTCCCTCTTTCTCTCCTTCCTTACTTATTTCCTTCCCTCCCTCTCTCTCCCCTCCCTCTCCCCTCCTCCTCCTTCCCCCCGCGCCTCGCTGGAGTGGCGGTGGCGGGTCCCCAGCCCGGCGGGGTGGTGGGGCGGGGCCGGGGCGGAGCCGCAGGAGCCGCCCCGGGTGGGGGGATGCACCTCCATCGCCCGCCGCCCCACTCCATCAGCCCCGCCGAGCCGGGCGGCAGCTCCACGCCGGCAGCCWGAGACCTCCGGGGCCGGCCCGGGGCGGAGGCAGCGCTCTGAGTTCACCGGGAGCGGGACACGGGTCCCCGGGCGGACAGCCACAGGGGAGGAGGAATCGCATCCCGATCGGCGGGCGGTGAGCGGCGGGGCCGGGCGGGATGCGCAGCCCGTAGCGAGTGGGCGCCGACCCGCCATGCCGCAGCGTTTTGCCAGCTCCCGAGAGGGAGTTCAGGAATTCTGCCGTGAATTTGGCGAGGAGGGTGTGGGGGCTGAGGCTGAACAAGGCAAACAGCAGAGGGAAAAAAAAAAGAGACTGACAAATTCTCGAACATAACTATAAAAATCCCCAAAACATAGCTTCCYTTCCCACTAGAGAACTAAAAGAAGCCGTGGAGAAATGAAATTGCTGTGCTGCAATGCCACTCTTTAACAGGTTATGAAATCTGCAGGTTATGAAATGCATGCGAATTATACTAAAGCGTGCTATATCCCCGCCTGCRAAATCCTCAGCCAGAATCATCTATGGAAGGGTCGCTCCTGTTGGTTTAGTGGCAAAATAAAACAGCAGCAGCTGTGTGTGCCTCGCATGCATAGTGTGCCAGATCAATCCCACTCGCATCCTCTCTGTGCTGTTACACCCACTCACACTGCCATGCCAGCACAGGCAGGAGGTAAAATGGACCATGTGCAAACCTGCACAGCAGAAGGGACGAAGTATTGTCTCTAATTTCTAACCACAATTGGCTGGCCTGTTTTTAAACATCATATTTCTTGCTCAAATAAAGCACAGTATCCTGGTCTGCATTGTGCTAATTCAGGCATATTGATGTTTTCTAACATGATTTGTTTTCCATCATAAACAATCATATATCTTACTGTTCCTCAACTTCCTTACTGTACCCAGATGGGGCAGCTAATCTTAATTCTGAATTTCTTAATTTCTCAAAGGCCTTAACAAAGAAAAATTTTTCTTTCTGCGTAACCAGATAATAGAAATATCTGCTAAACTMGTCTTAGTTAGTAGTATAAAAGGATAAAAGAGATACATGTGATAGATAAAAGACAGATAAAACCTTTCCCTCTCAAGTTTACTTATTGCTATTATAAAATGAAAATACAGATCCCCATTGTGATTTGAGATTTTATCATTTTCAAATTCGTATTTGAAAGTCAGGAAAAAGTAACATAAAGCCCTTATCTGAATATCAAGTTCTGTCCAATACGGTTTGACAGAAACGCCAAAATTCCTTTGAGATGAAATCTATGCCCAGAGCACCTGGTGACAGGGCTGAGATCAGCACCAGAGCAGCAGGAACACAGCCTTTTCACTGGTTTTTATGCTTCCTTCCAATCCCCCGGCTTGCTCGTCTCTGCTGGTGAGTGTGGAACTTTTGTTCATAAGTCTTTAGTTGATTTTTTCATCTTGTAACATTTGTTAACAGCATCTCCTGGAAGAAGTAATGGTCACTGATTAAGAAAATCACACACACAAAAATGGTAAATCAGCACACACAGAAGACAGTGGTTTTTAGTCTGATTTTTTAGTGAAGTATCTGACATATTCTGTAAGGGCACATATAGTTCTGTTCTGGTGGGTTTTTGTAAAAATTACTTTAATATTATATTTATCCAAGTCCCTGCAATCAGGTTCACATCTCTGACGATCCAGATATAGTTACCATGAGCTTTCAGCTACTCCTTGCTAAATGATGTAGCGCCAATGGATTTTCTATTTTGATTTTTTTTAAAAAAAACCTGGGATATCTATATGAAAGGCATTTCACTTCCCTTGAAAGTCAAAGTAAGCTGCATTGTATCATGCTGACAACCCAGAACTTGAAAACGGASTGGACCTTGTTCTTCAGAAGCTTCGCATCCTTCAAAATTAAAATCACAGCATCCAAATCTGTCCATGCGGAATCAAAGAAAGTCTTCAGGCTGCACACTGCATCTCACCAGCAATAAATGCCCCTTGGTCTCCAGGAAACCAAAGACAGCATTTCAAATGTGCAGTGCGCTGCTCAGATCTATGTTAACCATAAAGAAAAAGAATTGCACCAACCTTATTGGACATGAAAATAAAAGACTAATTAGGCTTCATTTATCAGTTTGTGACATGCTATGTATGAAATTTTATAGTGGAAATACAAAAATCACAATTCTCCTGACAACAAACCCAGGTTACAAACTCAAAGAAAAATGGCAGGTCAAGGAGGAAGCAATTTATATGAACAAAACATACATACAAAAGATGTCCRACCTTCTGCCTGTTCCTCTCACCCATAAATTTAAACCCCGAAGCAGGAATGTAATCTAGTGTCTTGGTGGAAATATAGGGTCAGTAATCTTTCTGCCCTCTTGGTTGCTGCAGTCCTGTTTTGTGAATGCTCTTGTCCTTTGGTACAGACATCACTGCATCCCTGGTACAAGCAATACACATTTTAGAGGGCTAAAAYAAAAGTAAGTACAGGACAAGAACTTCTTAAACTTGACTTCGGAAATTCATAAAATCCTAGTTGTTAGACCCTGTGTAGGAAGTCAAGAACAAGCAAACTTCTGTCCAGACTTTTGAGTAAGATGTTTCCAGTTTGTGAGCATTATTTGAAAGAGCACCMTGTCAGTCTCTTGAAACTTATGTTAATATTTGTTCCCGGACAAACTGCAGCAGCTGCTCATTGAAGGTACAATGTGTCCACATGAACAGGAGAAAAGGCAGAGTTATCTATGAAAAACAAAACTGTCAGACACAATCCCCATTATGGAATTATTTCCTTCAAAATGGTTTTTATGAACCAGAGATTCCCTCTTTACAAAGATGACCCAGTGTGGATTCCACATTTCCACCTGTACTAGACCATGTGYTAATCTGCTCTAATTGTAATGCAGACTGAGTCTTGTGAAACAGAAGTTACTCAAACCGTGTCACATATAAGTCAAAGAAGTTGAGATCAGGGAAAATCCGCAAAGCTTTCGATTCCCTGACAAAATTTTTCCTGATTTTCCCTGCTGAATACAAAGCCTTGCATTACACTGTATTTTCTGCAACATCTTCCATCTACACTCAACTTCCAGTACCTCTGGATGACTGCCAGCTGCCCTGGATGCCTGTCAATTGGGAATGCTAAAAACTCCTGACAATTTCTTTGTTTTTATTTATGCATAGGAAGCTTCAGGATTTGTATTGAATAAGCTCATCATAGTCTCTTAACTTATTATCATCTTTCATGCTGTTTTATGTGTAAATCTAAGTCTACTTAAAGATTTATAGAGCTGCTGAGTAAAGATGGATCCTTTYATCAGCTGCATACCTGAAGAGTTTAAATCAGGTGAGAATGAGCACAGTGAGGGAGAGGCCAGCAGAACAGCGATGTTGGGGAGGAGGTGTCTTTGCAAGGAAGCAAAGAAGAGGAACGGGCTGACCCTTTGTAGGGTGACAATAGACGTGAAGGAGAGTAAAAATKCGCCCTTTGCCTCAAACCCTCTGCACAGGTTTTAAAGTCAAGGCCACCTTTTTTGCCAGTGACTGGGAAAAGCAAACATGTAAATGCGGCTAAAAGAAGTGGTTGCCTGAAGATAAACAATGTGATTCATCCACCCCTGGACCACATAATATGGGCTGTGGGTGTCAATATGGTCATTTTAGAGTCATCGGAGGAAGACACACAGAACAGTTATCTTTGCACTATAGTCACTTACCTTTCCTGTCCCTCTCTAAGTGATTCAATAAATCATTTCTTTTCTAGAATGTAGGAGGATACTTGAAGGATTCCCTTTCATTTTGCAGGATCAAACAGCATTGGTTCACAAGAGAGAAAAAAAAAAAAAAAAAAAGCTATGAGTCATTAAATCCAAATAAACCACCCCCTTGAGGACAAGCTGCTCAAACCAGGAGTCGCCTGGTAGAACCCACAGAAGTTACACACAGTTCTTCCTGAGTAAAGCCCACTTAGCTGTTGCTGGCTCTCTAATCCCTGCTCAAACAAAATCCAGCTGGAGGTCCTCTGCCATGATTAGCAGCTTGAGAAATTTCCCAGGATATAGTGCTTCCTTGTTTCTAAGGCAGAACTTTTTCTTCCCCCTCAAATGCTATTATGTAGTTTAAATATGCAGTTTAAACTCCCTCCACTGCAGGGAAAAAGAACACCCTCCTCACACCTCCCCCTGCATCCAAAAAAAAAGCAACCCATGAAGGGGACTCTAAAAGGTACGAGTTAAATACAAACTTTATGCCAGGTTTAAGGTGATGCCAGACTTTCAACACTTTCAACAGAAAGCTGAAAAAAATRTTAGGAAAACAAAGAGCTCTAGTCACAGGCAAGCAATCTTAAAATAAAAGCWGACAATGTTAATATTGTTTCTTTCACTTTCAAGAAAGAAAAGACAATTTCATCCACGTTTTGGTATTTGGAAAAAGAAATCTGCATACAGGAAATTATATGAAAACTACAAGACGAAGGCAAAATTAGCAGTTTCTGGGAAATGGTCATTTATAGGAAGAGAACTCACTTTCCCAGGGTAGGCTGGAGTCCAACCTCAATTCAGTGGTAAACGGTTCATTGCAGAGGAAGGTTGGAAGCAGGTTTAAGCATTAGCAGACTGTGTGGATATGCAATGACTTGAAGAAATAAAACAACCCAATGGTTAAAATACCTTTTTTTTCCCTATTTCCTGAAATAAATGTTTTGCCCAGTGCCAAAGAAAACATTAAGGAATCATTTGAAGGGGAGCAGCTGCCACTCATTTCATTTTTAAAGTTGCTCAGTGGCTGTGCATGTTCTTTTGCTGATTTGTGAGCAA